TAATTCTGATTACAATGGAATTCATCAGAACCTTCTGAAAGCTTCCTGAATTTACTCTTCATTTTTATTTATTCTTGGTCTTCGGAGTTTCACAGTAGCAAACACTTTTCTAAGTATTTCTTCATTTGTGCTGGATAATCACGCTCTTCATTTTTCAGAAGCACTCTTGCATTATTTCTTTGATAATTTTCTCTGCCTTTTTGTCTATTCTATGCCTTAAAGAATTGTTTTACTCCTTTTATCCTTTTATTTTAGTTTCTGGAATATTTGTTCAACTTTCTTTTTCAAGTCTTTCATTGAATGCTTTTTATTAGCTACTTGACATCTAAGGGAAAAGTGTTTACTTTTTTTAATTGATGCATGCCTAAAACATAAATATACAATTTAACCAGTTAAGATTTCTTTGTCAAGTTCTGATAGTAATGCTATGTCAGCTTCCTGAGAAATGCTGGAAACGTCAGTCTTTCCCTCCCCGCTGGACGTGTTTAAATAACACTGGTGTTACGTAAGTTACAGGCCCTTACATCCTCCAATTTCCACAAACATCAAAATGTTGATAAATGCTGGCCCGTGAGGGGCAGGAATTCTTCAGTTGTCAAGACTTTGGTCGGACTGTTCTTTGAGCTAAACTCAAGGGGTAAGTTGGGAGGTTAATTTCTGCTCTTTCCTCAAAGTTACCTGACAACTCTCTGTGATTCAGAAATTTGGACGAGGAGATGCCCAAAGGGAGGACAGAAGATGTAGGCTGTGAGGAAAGGTGGGTGGTTATTTTTCTTACAGAAACAGATTAATCCCTGAGCTTGGTCTCTTTCAACCCAAGTCCACCCATTAAAGGTAACTGGAATGCTTGGTGACATCAGGGCTTGGACACAGACCTTCCTCAAGAACGGTGTGCCTAAGGCAGAAGGAGACCAGTGCCGGCCAGCCTTCCCCTGCCAGGGCACCCAGAGGAAGAGATACGTATCTAGGCTGTTGGGATCATCTTCCCCAGGTAAGGCAGTTGTACAAATTGGTCTACGAGTGTCTCAGGGAACTGTGCCCAAGAAAGACCTGAGACTCCAGACATGTTTCTCGGGCATCATAATGCTAAGAATTCCACTATGAATGCCAAGAGGAGGCACCTCTGCTCAGGCTGACTCAGTGCCAGAGGCTCAGCTGCAGAAGCATCGGGACACCCAGGACAAATGTCTGCAGCAGTGGTGGGTACGGGGTCTCCCCTTCACTGAAATCGCATGGTTTGATGCTCCTGGCAAAGCCTGTTGCTGAGTTTTTGCACTGCTGTTTCTTCTACTTGGCACCCCGGTTCTTGAACCAAATCATTGGTACTAGCTCATCAAAGCTAGGGGTTGAAGTCAAGCACCCAATCTGTGTCTATGATCTTTTAGATTTCACCTTCCTACCCTCTCAGCTGTTCCAGGCTAGGCTGTGTGGCTTCAGCGAGGGTGCCATGGCTTTGCTGATCCCTGGGAAATGCCACTGTCAATCAGGGGGCCACGCCCGAGTCACGCTGTAGTGTCTCCGTCTGCCCTGTGTCCTCTTACCTCTTTTATATTTTTGAATTCTAAATAGAATTACATTAAAAAAAGGAGGGGAGTTCTACTGCTTTAAACAGCTTTGGAAACCAGTTACAATTTCAAAAGACACTTCTTACTTAAAAATTCTAGGACCATAAACAAGGCTGAGAAGTTGAAATTAAAGTCACTTAAAATTTACATACACTAATAGTTAATATTTATTCTCATCATGTTCCAGATGCAGTGCTGAGTGCTTTTCATGTATTATCTCATTCAGACTGCCTAACAACCGTATCGGGTGGTACACACTTTTATTATCTCCATTTTACACATGAGGAAATACAGGCATGGAGAAATTGAGTAACTTGCCCAAAGCTCTAAAGCTACAATGACTGCTTTCAAGGTGCAAACACTGGCAGGCTGACTCCAGAGCTCAAGCCCTAATCATTACACAGTCAGGTAGAAAAAAATAAAAATAACCAGGCTATTGGGTTACTCTGTATCAGAAGTTTTTAAAAGAAATATTTCAATGCATCAATAAAAAGGATTAACAACTACGTCAGGTGTTCATATGCAAATGACTGCCCAGTACACTTAGCGGTCACCCTTCAGAAAGTAAACACGAAATAAATTTTGGTCAAATATGCCAGGCAAGGCTAATGATTTTCTTGAACATTTTTATGAACTCCTTAAGAGTTTTCAGTATGTTAATGATTTTCCTGCCTTCACCTTGCTTACATTATTAATTTGCTCAGCAAATTCTTTATAGATAAACTAAGTTGCAAACTTAAACCAGCATAACTCTTACGTGGATGACTAAACACCCCGAATCACTGAACAAATTAATCAATGCATGTACCCCTATAATCATCCAACGCTTTAGAAATAGTTCTTTGAAGATGTGCATGCTACTCTCTTAATGGCCTTCCAGTGAATTCAATGCTAAATGCTGATTTAGTAAGAATGGAAAAATGAATTTGCTAGAGCATCGATTGGGTGATGGGAAACTGGGGAAGATAATAACACCGCCACTTTGTGGGACTTTACTGCTGACAAAGGACTTGTACTTACATCATTTTATTCCTCAGTACAAACTGAAAAGTTGGCAAAGTAGACATCAATATTATTGCCACCCTTCCTCCTTCCTCCTTCAGTTTGATAGATCCCATCTCAGGTCACAGGATGCACCTACAGCCACAGGGTGGCTACACTGGGGGTTTGACTTTCGCTGTCCTGCACACTCAGCCCAGGTTCTTTTCACTGCATCATGCTCTACTCCATTGGGGAGATATCTGCAAAGATAGATAGGCACTTCTACCCTGCAGAGGTCATAGACTCTTGGTCTGGGGGCTGAATCTAGCCTTCAGATCTGTTTTGCTTTGCCCGAATAAATCTTGAGTTTGATTAGTTACGGTTGTTTTTTAAAAATCAGAAGAGATTAAGCTAAATCTAGAATTGTGGCTTCATCTGGAAAAGCAGTTGATTTGGCAACAATCAACTACTGTTGATTTCTCTGTTTAGAGTAGGTGTGTCTATTTCAGAGTGCCACAGTCTCTTCTACTCCTTAGCACATGACCGGTATTGCCTTATTTGCCATTTATCCTCCTAAGAACAGGCTGCTTCATTCATTTATCTTACCTGCCTGGCTCCCAATAGAAAGTGAATGCTCTGTGGGACTGAGAAGCTTTCCACAGACATGGGGTAATTTTCCTCAGCCAACTTGGGCACGATTGTCTCTGTGTATCTTCCCAGCTTTGGTTCCTCACTCACTCAACAACTTTTTCATTTAATTTTCTTTATTAAATTGTTCTAATGGAACAGAGAGGTAGTTGTGAAATTGAGGATTCAAAGAAGTCCCATAAACTTCCTTTTGATTATAATGTAATAGCTGGAATTTTATTAACCCTGCCCAAAGTTACTAAAAATATCTCTCATATAGTTTTTAAGTCTACTTCAAAATATTTTGACTAACTCATTTTCAAACTCTCAGCCTTCACCCCTACTTCACAAGAATGTGAATTAGGGGTGTGAATGAGATCAGAGGACTCTACTTGTTTATCACTATAATCTTACTACCAGGGACAGTGACTGGCACATAGTAGATGCTCAGTAAATGTTTGTTGACTGACTGAATGAAAGTGGGAGTAGTGAATCAGGACTGGGCATTCCTGGAACCCTCTCAGTGTGGTCCTTCAGACACAGTTGGCCCTTATCTATGGTGTGGTCTTATTTATGCAGAGAGTCTAGTAGGAGATTATCAGTCTCTTGGGAGATAACTCATTTCCTGGAGGCAGAAAAGATCTAGCTCAAAAATTTGTTAGCTTTGCTTATTGGTAGAAATACTTCATCAAAATATCAACTTTTGCAATAAACTGGCTCTACGTTTACAGAAACACTAGCCTTCAAGAAAACAGAATCTTTCTTAGATTCAACTAACCCTTCAGTCTACACTGGTTTTCTTGGTTGTGCAAAGAGAAGATGACTTTCAGCCCAGCCTGCCTCTTTTCTTAGGGCCAGGAGTCTTCCATGTAGCGGAAGCTTGCTGTCAAGAGCCATTTGAATTTGCTTGACTTTTTTTTAGTTCTTAATGACCTGTTTACAACTTATAAGAAAGAAGAGTGTGGCCTGGACCCTCTAGCTTCCAGTCACCTCCCAGGACACCTCGGGTACTCAGCCGCCCTATACACTCCGCTTTTCTCTCTCTGCTTCTTTCTTTCTCCTCTTCCCTCTCCCTTTCTTCTTCCCTGTCTTCCTTTAGTCATGCTTTTCACTGGCTTTCTTTTTAGAATGTGTAGAGAGTGTGTCTTGTTTTACCCACCATGATCTGCTCTAAAGGGTAACAAGATTGAGAAAGCATACACGTTACTTCTTCAGGACTTGAACTTGGACTCTGTTACTCAGCATCCTGTCCTGTAGAACCTGAGCTACTGTGGGTGTGAAGTTTTTCTTCTGAACATTTAAAATTCATTTAATGCGAGGTCCCTTCCTCCCTCCCTCCCCCCTTCCCTCCCTCCCTCCCTCCCTTCCTTCCTTCCTCTCTCTCTTTCAGATTCCTCACTTTGCTTTTTTGTGAAATCACAGAATTTTATGTTGGAAAAAACTTAAAAGATAATCTTGTCCAGACTCTTCGTTTTACAGATGAAGAAACTGAGGCAAAGGTCAGAGGGATTAAGCTTCAGAACCAGAATTAAAATCTGATCTTCTGGGACTTCCCTGGTGGTTCAGTGGTAAAGAATCCACCTTATGATGCAGGGGATACCGGTTCGATCCCTGGTCAGGGAACTAAAAGATCCCGCATGCTGTGGGGCAACTAAGCCCCATGTGCCACAACTACTGAGCTCCCGCACCTGAATTAGAGCCCACATGCCACAAACTATAGAGCCCACACGCCCTGGAGCCTGCGCGCCGCAACTAGAGAAGAGAAAACCCACGCTCCACAACTACAGAGAAGCCCGCACACCACAACGAAGAGCCCCATGAGCCACAACTAAGACCCAACGCAGCCAAAAATAAATAAAATAGATAAGTGGTAAGTAAGTCTTAAAAAGAAGAATCACATATTTCAAAAAATCTGATCTTCTGACGTGTAGCTCTTTCCTTTACTATTTGAATGGATTATTTGTCTTTTTAAATTTACTGTAACTCCTCTCTGTATATTTCAGTTAAAAGAGGATTTAAACGTATGACTCATTCCTGACTGCAGGGGTCTCTGTGTTTTGGGAATGGAGTGTGAGGTCCCCTGGAGGAAGATCTCTATGATGGAAGCGCTGTTGTCTTCCAGGTCTTCCCTCTCCCCTTTGCTTCAGGTCTCCGTGTGGAGGGACCTCCCTTAGCGGAGAATAGCTTGCCTCTCAGAGAGAACGGGAAAGAGAATGGGGTATGGATTGCCCAACCTCTCTGCCTCCTGACCCACTCTCCCCACTTTTTATAATGTTCAACGCCAATACATTTCACAGGGGCAGGTCCTGCCATATCTGGCTGGGGTAAATCAGCCTAATTTGGGGCAAAGCGTTCATATGCAGGGTGACAGCACTGGTATGATGAGGCTGTGGTGTATCTATGTGGGAAGCAAGAATCAGGAGCCACTTGATGGTACCAGGGAGAGAAGAGTAGGAAATTGGAAGGAAACTGGCTTGTGAAGGATTGGTCCTCTTTTAGAGTGAAATCTTCCAGCCACTGACCTCATGATAACGTTCATAGCATCACACACGCATGTTGATGGACTAGGTGGGGCTCGACACCATCCTCCCAGATAGATCATATCAAAGTCTCCCTCATTTCTCTCTTACTTGTCAATCCAATAGAAAAGGAATTTGACTTGGTTCAAATAGTTTTTCAAACTATTTTCAAAATAGGCCATGTTGATATTTTCAAAAGGCCATGTTGATTCCCAGTGCCTTATGTTTCAAAATATTAAACCAAAAAATTAGGGAAAATGTTTTCTTATGTTTTATGCCAAGATTTGAGCAATGAATTAAGAAAAAAATCCCAGCCAAGAGAGAAAAATGTTTAGTTGGAGGAAAATTTAAATATGAAAGTAATTTGATAATCATTCTACCATCTTAAGAAAAATGAAAGTGAAAGATAAATTTACCTCTTTCTGAGAAAAATAAATACCATATGCTAACACATATATATGGAATCTAAAAAAAAAAAATGGTTCTGATGAACCTAAGGGCAGGACAGGAATAAAGACAGACGCAGACGTAAAGAATGGACTTGAGGATACAGGGAGGGAGAAGGGTAAGCTGGGACGAAATGAGAGAGTGGCATGGACATATACACACTACCAAATGTAAAATAGATAGCTAGTGGGAAGCAACTGCATAGCACAGGGAGATCAGCTCGGTGCTTTGTGACCACCTAGAGGGGTGGGATAGGGAGGGTGGGAGGGAGGGAGACGCAAGAGGGAGGGGATATGGGGATATAAGTATATGTATAGCTGATTCACTTTGTTGTACAGCAGAAACTAACACAACATTGTAAAGCAATTATACTCCAATAAAGATGTTAACACAATATATACATACCTCTTTCCCATAAAAAACCCTCAGTCATAAGATGATGCTTTGGGGAAAGCTTTACTTGTAACTGTGCGTGTGTGTGTGTGTGCGTGCGTGCGCGCGCACACAGATGTGCATCTGCTTTTGCACATTCTAATTTGATGCTTTTATGCTGTCCATATGGATCACTGCAACACTGATTCCATCATTTTAACCACAGTTTACGTTTCAAGTATCAAAATACACAGTATATAAAAGAAGTTCCATTCTGTGTGTCCCTTATCCTTGGCAAAAGGAAAATAGATCCTCCCAAGCAGGGCACTGTGTCCAGTTAAAGACTTCAGTAAAGAATATAATGTAAGTTAAGTGTTTCTTTTCATATCTAGAATACTAACACCAGGTAACGTTCTAACCAACCCGGTGAAGTTATATTCTTCAAGGGATAATGTTCAAAGAGAGAAACTGAACTAAATTAGTATACAATTGGGACTTCTAATAAGGAAGTCCTGAAGAGAAATGTTCCAGCCAACAATGATCATTCAGGAATAGTTTACTTCTGTCTCCTTTGGGAGACCTAGCAAATCCTGCTGTTTTCCCAGATGTCCAACTGGTAGCTAATACCTTCTTGATTACCCCAGGTTATGGGAAGCATGGAGAACAAAAGAGAAGAGACACTTTGCTATGTGTCTACAGTTACTGCAAAAAAAAAAAACCCTCTTGATATGATGATCTCACAATAAAGACCAAATATACGGTGGCTTGCTCTCTCTGAACGACCGTTCCCATTCCCACAGAAAATTCTTGATTCCCACACCACTACCCACCAACTACCATGCTTTTCAAATTTATTACACCTTATTGTAAGTTATTCAGCCTTTTCCATCCTTCTTGCAGGGGACTCTAGGCCCTCTGAGAGCAGGGGTTTTCTATCTGGTTCTCTACTGAGCACCACTGAGACGTGGTAGATCCTACCGGGAGTTGAGTGAATGAGTGAACTGGGCCCATTGGCACCTTTTCAGGACAACCATTCAGAACACAGCTGGCTGCGGCGCTGGGGTCCACTCTGCCTAGGGGGAGGCCTATTTATGGATGCAAGCTTCACAAAAGAAGAAGATCTGCTCCCCAGAGAAGAATATTTCTATTTTGAACCAATTATTCTATATTATTGAGCCCAGTTGACTACATAGTTGTTTTTCTGTTTTTGAAATTTTACAGACTAATTGACCTACGAGTGTTTCCTCAAAAGACAAAAGGATGAGGCCGTGTGATAATTTCCAGGTACCTATTAGAAAAATATGCGAGATGCTTGTATTTTCCATCTCATGATTATCTGACACAGACATGTTGGGACTGTTACCTACTCACCCTGGAATATTATTTTAATCGAAGTATCAACTGTAGTTCAATCGAGAGCATAAAACAAGTAACAGCAACAAAAACCAAGAAAAATGTTTTAGTACAGAAGATAATGCTCCCATTGAATTGAACTCCTTCTCTTTTCATGATCTTCTTTTTGTTATCTGCTGGTTTCCTCACTCTCTCCCCTCCCACAGCAAGCAGTTAGGAGCCTGCTGGCCCCTCCTTCTCACAGAATAAAGCCCCTGGAAGGTAAGGGAAGTGCTAGGCTGGAGACAACGCCACCACTGGACAGTGAGAAATCTGTGTGGAAAACTTCCCGGATCATTTGGAGACTATGAGTTTGAAAACAGAATCACTTCCTAAGAGTATTCTAAATCACTGAGGGCTCATATAATAATGAAACTGAAACTCAGCAAGAAGATGGTTGAATGAGCATGCGCTGCAAATTATGAGTACGGATGTTCTGCAAGAGTATAAAGGAAGCTTTGTCTGGCCCTGTACTAGGGCAGAGATTTTCATTGCTTCCAGGCTTACATGTCTGTGAAGAAATGAAACAGCAAACCTGCTCCCAAGAACTGGGCTCTGACTATAAGCGAACAGCCTGGAGACATCAAAAGTTCACTTGCGGAGGGCTTTCTTATCATGTAATCCCAAGTAATTTGAGTCAAACTGAGAATTAAGAAGGATGCTGTGGAGAACTCCAAGAACACTAGACCGGTGTCAGCATGACACGCCTGCTAAAACCCTTGCCAATGATCAAAGAGAATCACGCAGAAGTTCATCTAGAACTGACTTCAGCCCTTTATAGACCCAAGTCTATAATTTTGATTTTGTTGTTTTTGTTGTTTAAAGCGAAAAGGCAGTAGCAATGTAGTATGTTGAATAAGGGCTACTGGAGGAGGAGAGGAGTGAAGCACATGCTCTGAGAGCAGGAAGAAAGAGAAACTACAAAAAGCAGATAGAAGGGCTTTCAAAGCACAGTAGGCTGGCAAATGGGAGTGAAGATAAACGGCCGAGGCTGCTGACGTTTTCAGCCGCAAAATGACTGATGTTTATATAATGATGTAACTGAGCATTAGGAAAATATATTGGGTGAAACAAGCATGTTTAAAAAAGAAGGTTTTACAAGCTATGGTTACCAAAGAGGAAAGGGGGAGGGACGGATTAGGAGTTTGGGATTAACAGATACACACTACTGTATATAAAATAGATAATCAACAAGGACCTACTGGATAGCACAGGGAATTATGCTCAATATTTTGTTATAACCTAAAAGGGAAAAGAATCTGAAAAAGTTATATATATACACATAACTGAATCACTTTGCTGTGCACCTGAAACTAACACATTGTAAATCAACTATACTTCAATAAAAAAAACATTTAAAAAGAAGGTTTTAGCAACCATTTTATTTTAGAAAGTTTTAATTCGAAAGATTTCCACTAGATAGTTTAAGTGAAAACTGAAGCTTTGATGCTTAAAGGGCAAGGTTCCCAGTGCTTATGGCAGTGAGATGCCATGCAGCCAGCACATGCTATGGAATCAGGAATCTCGGGGTGTGAGACAGCAAGTGGCTTATTTGCTCATCTGTAAAATGGGCTTCACGTGCCTACACACAATGGAGCTGTAATGAGATGAAATTAATTGAGAAATACATTCCAAATGCCTGGCACAGAGCAGAAAATTCAGTCTGTGGTGGTTGCATTAGTGAAATTGCAAATCACCCATAATGCTAAGTAAAGGATGCATTTTGAATTTCCTTTCTGTATTATTATGTATGATTATTCAATAGGGTGCCAGAAGCTGCTGGCTAGGAATCTGACTGCACCCTGCCTGGTCCAATGTTAAGGCTACGAACTGCAAGAGCTCCAGCTCAGCAGAGAATCAGTAACACCCTTCGGGTGGTTCACCTGCTATGCTAACTTGCATTGGCTCTTGGCTATTCTGAAAGATGGATGCTACCTCAAATTAAGGAAAGGGAAAAAATAACACAGTAGTTGTTAAATACAGTTCTTTATTTTCTGAAAATAGGTATTTCAACTAAAGCATTGTAAGTCACTATGGTGGAAATGTAGAAATATAAAAATGCTGTATTGCACAGGGAACTATATTCAATATCCTGTGATAAACCATAATGGAAAAGAATATGAATAAAAATGTATATATATGTATAGCTGAATTACTTTGCTGAACAGCAAAAATTAACGCAACATGGTAAATCAACTATCCTCCAATAAAATAAATTTAGAAATATCGAAATGATTATTCCTTTTTATTTAGCATAATAAGTTCTACAGAACTTACATTTATGAACTTACCAATCTTCAACTGTTTCTGATCTATAAAAATGACAAGTGCATTATGGTTTGACCTAACTGCTACTAAAGCAAACGTAATTGAATTGATTCACTGCCTCATTTTATTTGCAGAAATGAGACAAGGAACTGATGCATGGATTTGCATATTTTGTATTATCTATTTTCAAATAGTTTGTGAATGGAAAACCATATAGAGAACTCTTTTAGGGAAGGACACACAGTGTCAGGAGTATTCTCTGTCCTCATTAAGCTTAGCTTTCTGTCCAGCAGCTGGCTTCTGCCATTCAGGAGTGAGATTCAGATCTGCCCCATGCAGTTCTTCAGCTTCAGAACAGATTAGTTTCCTCGTCCTGAGACTGCATGCAGTTGCAGACAGCACTTAGTCGTTGCTGCCCTTTCTGGGCCCTGAGAATTATTTCTGATTCTTGGTAACTCAGTAGATTAATGAGACTTCTATTGAGTGTTATAAAAGTAGCTGAGCCACTGACTTAAAGGTGATGAAAACTGCTTTTTCTCAAATAAGGCCTTGCTTTTATTTAGGCTTTAAAGATTTTCTTCTGGAAACATTAGGATACCTTGATGAATTCACTAACTTAGATTTTAGTGTAGTAACAGTAGCAATTAATGAAGTAAGCTTTCACTGATATCTTTAGAGGCTATTAAGCCCCAAGGTTTGTCAGACTATGAAGATTTGTACCTTTCTACTTCAAGAAACCATTTCATCTCCACAGAATCTCCTGCCTTCATTGGCTAATGATAGAAATTCAGAATCATTAGCTAAATTAATTGTTTCATGTGGTTGGTCTTTAGAATGTTATAAACTGTAATAGAATTACTGAGTTGAGAGCAATTAATTAGATGTACTTTGAATATATTCTAATTAAATGCTATACCTGTCATTCTTAATGACCACTTGAAAACTACCAAAAGAAAACTGCTGATGAATCTCAGTGCCATGAAAATAAACCATCCAGAACCGTTATGCCTCATGTCTGTATAGTTCACATCACTTCAAAATCTGAAAAGTCATTTCAGATACTGCCATTGAAGTATTACCACAGGGCCCCATAATTTTAAGGGAGAAAGTGAAAGTGTGGAATCCTTTTTTTAGGTTTTTAAAGCCCATAAATCATAGAGGTAGGAATAGCATGTATATTTCTTATGTCTAGGACTGTGTTAGACCATGTTAGACCAGGAGCTGAAAATTCAGATCTGTATACCAGAGCCACAGAGAGATCTGATGCTCAGAGATCACTGAGATCTCATGCTCAAATGAGAGGAGATGTCTCAGGATCAGAAAGAAGGAGGACTGAGAAATGCAGGGCCCTTGAGGGCAAACAGCTTTACAAAGGGGCCAGCCTCCCGCTAGCTACACTGGTTGTTGTCTTACGGATATGTGGTTCCTGTCAAGCCAGATACAGTGGTTTTCAAACAAATACAGATGTGTGGGATTTTACATGAAATCATCACAGATTCAAATTTTCAGCCCTGTGGGTCAAGTAAAACACATCTGTGGGCTGTTGGCAAGCAGCCTCTGGATTAGATTCTGACATCCTCTGTAGGTATATATGCTATTAAAAATGAAGGATGTTGGGCTTCCCTGGTGGCGCAGTGGTTGAGAGTCCGCCTGCCGATGCAGGGGACGCCCCGGTCCGGGAAGATCCCACATGCCGCAGAGCGGCTGGGCCCGTGAGCCATGGCCACTGAGCCTGCGCATCTGGAGCCTGTGCTCCGCAACGGGAGAGGCCACAACAGTGAGAGGCCCGCGGAACGCCCCCCCCCAAAAAAAAAAAAATGAAGGATGTTGACATGCTGCCCACCCTTCATCAGTACTTACGACCAATCAAAGGAAACGTCTGTGAAAAGAAACTAGGGTATTTCATTAATCAACAGATAGGATGTGCCCTCTAGGTTGCTGCAATATATATATTTTTAAATTTTTATTGGAGTATAGTTGCTTTACAATGTTGTGTTAGTTTCTGCTGTGCAGCAAAGTGAATTGGTTATACGTATACATATATCCACTCTTTTTTGGATATCATTCCCATTTAGGTCATGACAGAGGACTGAGTAGAGTTCCCTGTGCTATACAGTAGGTTCTCATTGGTTATCTATTTTATACATAGTTGTGTATATGTGTCAATCACAATCTCCCAGTTCATCCCACCCCCCCTTCCCCCTTTGGTATCCCTAAGTTTGTTCTCTACGTCTGTGTCTCTATTTCTGCTTTGCAAATAAGTTCATCTGTGCCATTTTTCTAGATTCCACATATAAGCAATATTATACGATATTCGTTTTTATCTTTTTGACTTACTTCACTCTGTATGACAGTCTCTAGGTCTATCCACGTCTCTGCAAATGGCACAATTTTGTTCCTTTTTATGGCTGAGTTTAAGATTAAAAACACAGATGTATTCGTAGTCTTTCTCTGGTTTGTAAACAGGTTGGTTGAGGAAAAAAAAGATCTTTTGAAAGGATTGTTAACTTATTGGGAATGGAATACTAAGAAAGGATCAAACCTGTATGTCAGGGGTGATTCTAGAAAAGCTGAAGGTAGAAGACTTTCCAAGGTCCATACAACATCATGTACTGTTTATGATACAAAAATGGGGGAGGGGCACACAGTATGAAGAAGAGAAAATTAGAATATTTTATTATCCTAGATTGTTGTTCTCATATTGAAATACTATGTTTGAAAAGTTGAAATGAAAATTTTATACAGATGTAGGTTGAAAAAAATGGAGAACTGTACAGATGTTATGAAACAATTGGTACTTCCCTGAGGGGTAAGAAGAGAAATTTACAGAATCACAGAGCACAGTGTGTCATGTAGCGGCTCCAGAGAGCACACAGCATCCTTCAGCGGATAAAGCAAAGGGCAAGGAGGTAGGGTCCGTTTCTATTTCTGGCATCTATTGCTTTGGGACTTGGAGGATCAGAGTGTCACCTTTTGGCACTCAGGTCACCCCACATGTTAAAAAAAATCCATAACTCAAAGGTGTTTTATGCACCAGTTTTGACATCTATAAACCACTGGCAGATTTTAAAAATCAAGGCTATCACAAAAGCAGGGACTGTTGTTCTCCCTCTCTGTAATTTACAGAATTCATGAAGATTTGCAATGGCCAGCCACCAAGCAGATGTCTATTGGAATATTCTTGTTTGCTTTACATTTCTGCTCACCCTGGAACCCATCACCTTAATTCATTTTTTCTTTGCATGAAATTTAAATAAAAAAGCAGCTCTAGGCAGATTCATTATTTAAGTTGCCGTTTCCATACTCTCCTTTGGAAATTGAGGCATCCGTATACGTAAGGCTTCAGTTAGGCTAAAAGATAAGTTAACATGCTAAAATCCAGGGTCCCAGCTATCATGCATGAAGTATATAAAGTTCATTGTCTTTGTCTGCATCCTTTACAAGCTATCCTCGGCCAGCATTGATTTAGATGCTAACTTTATATTCAACTCAATTCTTACCTTCATTCTTTAGAAAAATATAACACATATGAGAAATTTGAAGATTAAATTTATAGATAAAAATACTTACCTCTCTCTTGCAGCTTGATGCACAATATGGAAAAATAATACATGAAAAAATAAAAATAATACATAAACTATCAAACCAAATCCCCAGATAAAGGCAAACACAAAAAAGAGTCCACACCTTGTAGAAGACATCATTCTCTTCCATTACCTAATGCCTGGCTTTCAAGAAATTAGGTGAGTTCATATTGTTTAATCTATGGGATCTATTATCTAACCTTCTCGGGAAGTGACTTCAGTAAGTATCAATGCAATGTTCTCACAGTTCTCATCAATTCAATTACCTTGACCCACAGGTATATTTTGCACACACACACACACACACACACACACACACACACACACACACACACATGCACACACTTACATACACACGCACACACACATGCAAATGCTTTTCTTTGGCTTTGAAGAGTGAAACAAAAACCACAGGTCCTAGACCCTAAAACAGAAGTAGGGAGGATAATCTGTAAACACTTGGCTGCATTTTACATATTGAGCCCAACCCAAGATGTGTATTCTTAGCGGATACTAGCATGTTAGCAAAATCTTATTGCGGAAAAGAAATGGGTTTTTAATATGTGTGTGTAACTGAATCACTTTGCTGTACACCTGAAACTAACACAACATTGTACATTTTTACTGAAGTCAACTATACTTCAATTAACAAAATGCCTGCTTTGTCGGCTCTCTCACACCCGTCCCAGCGACACCCTACCTTGCGGAGGGGCTTGAGCTTGGTCTCCATGATGAAGTCGTACTTGCACAGCTCACAGCAGCGCGTGTCGGAGCTTTTGATCCACTGGTGGAGGCAGGCCTGGTGCACGAAGCGCAGGGTGCCCGTGCAGCGGCAGGGCGTGATGAGCGGACTCCCCTCATCCCCTTCGCAGTGACAGATCCTGGGGAGGATACAGCAGCCGGGTGAGATCTCTCCCTCGGGGAGCACACGGCATCCTCCTCCCACACATCCCAGGCTGTATTAGAAACTGCAACCTCACATCCAGACCCATGGACGTCACACTTCGGCTTAATGCTAGAGCTGAATCTATGGCCAATACTAATTTCCTTTCCCTTGCATAGTCGTTGCTGGACTCTTAAGTCATGTTCAAAGGCATTAGACACCAATACATCAAAAATGTGCGATCATTCCTACACGGAAGTCAATTTTAACAGCATAGCTATTGAGCTATGTCCCCATCTTCATCTATTAAAAGTCAATATCCATAGGCACAAGCTTGCTTTCATATACAAAAGTTACGACTTAGTATTCTAAGGAGTGCTGGAACCTGGTAACTTCAATGTTTTACTTTGATGGTAGTTTTATGGGGTGTATACTTTACTACATATGGTATCTTACCAATGTGGAAGAATTCTGAAACATTTTAACATGCTGCTATGGAATAAAGTGAATATAGAAAGTCTCAACTAGGAAATATTATGAAGATTTTCCTAGGAAGATGCACACATATTTGGTCAAAACAAAAGGCCTAAACTGTCAATAATCATCGCCACAAAAGTTACTGGTTACAGAAAGTTCAAGTACAGTAAATCCTACTGTTTTAAAATGTTAATTACTACATCTTCCAAGGAACTCCTAGTTCAAGTAGTTTACTGAATTACTATGACTTCTAGTGTCACGGATTCATAGTCTATGAAATCTTCATTATTCTTTTCTTCAAATTAAAAAAAATAATTTGTTTTCCTCACTGGATAAGTTTTTATACCACCAGGTCACGAATTCAAACCTTAGAACTTCAATAATTCTTATTATATAACCAGCTGTTAGAAGTTGTTACTAAATTTAATTAGAAATATTGCTTGAACTCTGTTAGAAATATGAATGGAATGTTCCCAGAACACCTGTATATTAATTTTTTGGAGCAGAATCACAGTGGTGGGCTGGAAGAATGTTTGAATTGCTGCTACTTTCCTTTCATACCTCTTCTCCGGAAGCATGTTTTAAAGAGTGGATTTTAAAATCTATTTATCTAGCTCAGCTGTCTCCCCAGGGGAAATGTGATGGTTGGTCAGATTGTTGCTGCAATGAGATACAGGAATTGAAACCCAACCCTCCCCTAACCTCAAAATAAAGAAGTATGACACAGTACACTAGTATCTTGGATCTCTTTTTCTTAAGTAAAGCTCTTTGGGTGGAGTGATAGGATGAGAACACAGGAAAGTTCAAAATCAGCATCTGCCTTTCCCTGGACAGAGTTAGGAGGTATCAGTGTTGGATGTTGCAGCCCATGTCAAAGGCTGGCGTGGTGGGGAAAAACTAAAACTCATCTCAGAGCCTATTCTTTAATATGAAAGCCCGAGATATGTCCTCTCTCCAAACGTGTAGGTCCTAGGATCAGGGCTTAAGTATACTTTATAGCATACCTGTTGCCGACAGACTGTTGGTCAGTGGATGCTTGTTGACTAAAGGAATTGTTCACTCAACAAACTGTGACTTATTATAAAAGCAACCAGTGAAAGCATATCTGGGTTTCTATAGCACATCATTTAATTGTAATATTTATTTTTTTGAGTCACTGAAACCTAACGCATTATATACATCACGAGCGGCTGAGATTTCTGAAGTCCTTTGAACCTCTTCTCTACCTGTTCCCACACAAAGATACTCCCTTAGGTCAGGGGCCAGCACACCGTGACCCATTTCTTCCTGCTGCATGTTTCGGTAAAGTTTTATTGGACCACACCCACACACGTTTGTTTATGTATTATTTAGAGCTGTGTTTCACTATAACTGTAGACCTAAGAGTTGATGCAGAGGCCATGTGTCCACAAAAACTATCATCTTTACTACCTGGCCCTTTACAGAAAACTCATGTCTTAAACATGGTGATCCTGAGTTAAAGACAATGTCTGACTATTATCAACAATGATGAAAACAAGGTTCAGAAAATAAATCACCCCAAATTCTGCAAGTAACAAAAGCTGAAGTAAAGGTTCCAGAGAGAAGCACACAATAAAGACGAAAGTCCCTCCTGACCCACCACTGAAGCCCGCTGGTCCACAGCAGTCTGCAGGGACAGGGGGTAAAGTTTCTTGTTTGAAAAAGAAAAATTTGCAGTTAATGCCATCTCATAATTCGTCACCACAAAGGGGGTCAAGTGTTGCCCAGCTGCCAAGATGATTCTGAGGCTCTGAGTTTTTACTAACTTGAAGAAGTAATTCATCATAAGTAGATGTAAACTGATGACTGAGTTCAGACTGACCACAACAGTTCTCTGCTTGTAGTCAAGACTTCTTAAATCTTACAGATTCTTTTTAAAGAACTTCTGAAACTGTCACCCGAAGCATCACTGGCAATATCACTTTTTCATAAAGTTAAGATTATTTCCCATAGGAAAAATCAAAAGCTTGGTTCATTTCCATTTCACAAGATTTCTTTTTATGTGATTTTAGCATTTTGAATTTTTTCTAAATTATCCAACTCAGGTTGGCTCCTAAAGAGTCTTTTTCAAACTATGCTGATATTGTTCTAAATGAATTTAAAAGCTAAATATCAACTTCAAATATCTGCTAGAAATGAAAATAAAGTGACAGAGCCATTACAGGAAGCATTAAACAATTCTTAAATTGATATACTTCACACAAACCATAATTGCTAAATTATAAATGAAAGCATAGTAATAAAAATATAAACATGCTTTTTTCCAATAGAATAACTGTGTAGAGAAAGCGATTTCAATAATAAAATAAAAATGCACTGTAAAATAATCATAATTTTGATGCATTTTTACCTTATGGGAAATCGAGACTCGGGAATTAAGTGATTTTTTAAAATCACTGATGGTCTACATTGGTGTCTGTCACCTAGCGGCAGGAACAAGCTGAATTCACAGATATTACTGGCATTTTAGTATCTTAACTGGCTGCTTACAGTCCAACCACCATGTGTTAGGTTTTCACCATTTATGACGTGAATAAACATCTACTTCCATATAATTTCTAGTTTTCTGTAAAGAGTGGACCACAAAATGCTATTGAGCAAATTAAATTTTAGAAAATGTGTGTGTGTGCGTGTGTTTGCAGCTTCAAGTCCCCCCCTTAATGTTTGAGTTTTAAGAAAAGTTGGCTTTTTTTTTTTCAGTCATATAGATCTGAAAACGACCTCCACTGCCAGTCCAGACCCCATCCCTTGCCAAGGCTTCTTGGCTCAGGTAGAATAGTATTTTTTGTTATGCCTAAGTTTTTTAAAAAAATAATTCATCACTTAAAAAAATCTTTGTGAGGGCTGTAGTGATTATGTAACTTTAGAATTATTTTCATTCATTCATTCATTATTTAATTCATTCACATTTTCTTAGTTCTTGCTACATGCAAAGAAAATCAGACACTAGCATCTGCACGGAGGGTGACTTGAGAGGAAGAGAAGAGAACCTGAAGGCGGGGACACCATTTGGGCAACGATTACAAATATCTAGGTATTAAGAATCTGTAACAATGTGGTAACACTTGGGAGGAGATGGGAGACAGCCTGCAGAGAGTGTCAGGATCACCGAGGGCCTTGCTTGGTTTCCATGACTACTAACTTTGGCATCGAAGCACATCTACAACATGGGACTCTTCAAGGCAGTCATCCCTGTAACCTTCAGACAGCATTGCAACTCCTTTCCCATATTCCATACCACTTTTTCCCCTTTCTCTATCCCCTCATTTCCCTACCTACATTTTCTTCCATCCTCCTCTCTAACTAAATAAGCTTTAAACACAGTACTAATGGACACTGCTATGTTTGTAATGGTTTAATTTAGACGTTAATCTTTACTCAAAACCAGTCATCATGCTTCAGAGTTTGGTGCCCATTCTTCCCCTTTCAAAGAACCAGTTTGGTTTTATTGATATTTTTCTATTTTTTTAACCTTTATTTTATTTATTTCCTCTCTGATCTTTATTATGTCCTACCTTCTGCTGACTTTAGGGTTTTTTTGTTCTTTTTCTAATTATTTTAGGTGGTAGGTTAGGTTATTTGAGATTTATCTTGTTTTTTGAAGAAGGCCTGTATTGCTGTGAACTTCCCTCTAAGAACTGCTTTTGCTGCATCCCATAGATTTTGTATGGTTGTGTTTTGATGTCCATTCTTAGAATTCACTTTCTTAAGCTAAAAAATGATTAGAACACATGTTGGGCAGAAGCCATGTTGAAAGGTAGTAAGCAGTTACAAGAAATTAGTGCTCAAGTAAACAAGTGAGGAGATATAACCACTCTTTTTGAGAAGTATAGCACAGCAATGAAAGGATGGTGGACTAGAGAAAATTTTAGTTTTCACTTTCATTTCATTTTTTTTAACAGTAAAAGCTGACTGTGTTCATAAGCAGAAGTGAAGGTGCCACAGAGAGGGAGACACTTACAGAAATAATCAGGCAAGAGAATGACCCATTGTTAAATGAAGTTTCTTGAGAAGTCAGGAGAGTGTGGGGAAAGAAAAAATGGTAGAGGAATATCTTTGGACAAGTGCAAGGGTATCCAGGAGGGAAACAGACACCATTTCCCGTGAGCAAGAGGCAGAGGAGAAATGGCCGGTGAAGATGGAAAGGAGGTGGGGGCAGGGAAGGTTCAGCCCCTGGGCCTAGGGGGGTCTTACTATCTTCCCTGATATAACAGACAACAGGTAACTAAAGGGAAGGCAGGAAGGCATGGGGTTACGGTCTCACAGAGGCTGTAAATAATTAAAGAAAGCCACTGGGAGAATAAGATGGAAAATTAACCAAGCATGTATATCAGAATCATGGAGCAGCCATGAGGTCCTCGGTGAGATGAGACAGCATGGATTTATGGTGGACGTTCTGGGACTCAGTTTGCTGAGCAGTCAGAGAGGTCCTACAAAGGGTAGCACAACCTCTCCGTGCCGAGATCACTAGGTCAGGCTGGAGAAGGATGAGGAGTGAAG